TGTGGTCAGAGTTCTGTGCAGACCACTCAAGTTCCTCCACATTAAACTTATGAAAACTTGTCTTTATGGAGCTGGCATTGTGTACAGGGGCACAGACATGGTGAAACAGAAAAGCGCTTTCAAACTGTTGCCCCAAGGGTGGAAGGGCACAATTGTCTGAGATGTATTTATATGCTGTAGCATCAACTTCACCCTTCACTGGGAACACCTCAACTTAGTAATTTGGAGGGTTGTCCACATACCTTAAGCCCCATATAGTGTATGTGTGATGGTTAAAAAGAAAAAAAGAAAATAGCACTGCGCTTCAAACTCAAAAATTATATTCCTAAAATGTGAAAAAAATAGTCTGAAATGTGAAATTGTCACAAAGTGATAAACAATTTTGTGTCATACACAACACCTGTGTAGCACAATGCCTGTGCTGATGATAGTAAGAAAAAGCTCTAGGTCTAATGGTCTAGACCAGGGGTCTCAAACCTCCGGCCCTCCAGCTGTGGTGGAACTACAAATCCCATGAGGCATTGCAAGATTCTCACAGCCACAGACATGACTCCCGACTCCACGACTCCAGAAGTAATGGACTTCACATGTGGTTATGTACATTAAGAGGGAGTTGTACATCACTTGTGAGATTTAACACAGGATTTTCTATATGTACACATTTTACAAGATGTACTAGCATGTTTTTTTTTGTCTATGTTTATTATGGTTTATAGTGTCTAGACCAGGGGGTCTCCAACCTCCGGCCCTCCAGCTGTGGTGAAACTACAAATCCCATGATGCATCTCTCTTCGGGAGTCATGTCTGTGGCTGTGAGAATCTTGCAATGCCTCATGGGATTTGTAGTTCCACCACAGCTGGAGGGCCGGAGGTTTGAGACCCCTGGTCTAGACCATTAGACCTAGAGCTTTTTCTTACTATCATCAGCACAGGCATTGTGCTACACAGGTGTTGTGTATGACACAAAATTGTTTATCACTTTGTGACAATTTCACATTTCATACAATTTTTTTCACATTTTAGGAATATAATTTTTGAGTTTGAAGCGCAGTGCTATTTTCTTTTTTCCTATTTTGGGTGTACTCACCTATTAAGCACAGCTGCTCTTAGAGTGTTATTTGATTCCTAGCGCAGTTAATTCTATCTAACAACATGTGTGATGGTTAGTTGTCCACAAACCTTTGGCCATGTAGTGTAATGCAGCATGAAGTATAAATCATCATTCATAAATCCTGTTAGAAGTGTCTATCTTTAAATAACATGACAAAAGTATTGACTCTCATGCTGACACTCATGAACCCAGCAAGGGGCTCCTCTTCATTCCCAATCCTCAGGTCAGCAGAGTGACCTGGTTATCTAGTTAAAGTGACACTAAACTCTTAAAAATATATTCAAGTCCCTTAACTATTAACAAAAATATATCTTATTTGTGTATCACTCGGCTGTAGATCCTCCAATCGTCTCTGAATTGGTGCTGACACTGTCCTTCCTTCTGGAGGGGGGCTACTTCTGTTCCCCATGGTCCCTGTGTGTGTTGTAACGTAGTCACCGCTCCAAGCTCACTCCCGGGATGGACTACAATCTGAATACAAATTAGTGAACCATACATGAGATTGTAGTCCATCCCGGGAGCGAGCTTGGAGAGGTGGGTACTTTACAACACACACAGGGACCATGGGGAACAGACGTAAGTCATCATAAGTGGAAGTGATTAGAATCTCTCCAATAAATACGTAACAATACAGTACAGTGAGGGAGAGATACAGCCACAGTCAGGATTGTAGAGCTCTCTCCATGCAGTGAGTGTTTTCTAATGCTGACCATACACCTTAAAGTGACACTAAACTCGGGAATTAAACCTTAAAAATACCTTCAAGTCCCTTTACTATTAACACCAATGTATCTTATTTGTGTATCACTGGGCTGTAGATCCTCCAATCATCTCTGAATTGGTGCTGACACTGTCCTTCCTTCTGGAGGGGGGCTACTCTTGTTCCCCATGGTCCCTGTGTGTGTTGTAAAGTAGTCACTCCTGTGATGGACTACAATATCATGTTTAGTTTACTACTTTGTATTGAGATTGTAGCCCATCACAGGCGCAAGCTTGGAGCGGTGACTACTTTACAACACACACAGGGACCATGGGGAACCAAAGTAGCCCCCCACCAGAAGGAAGGACAGTGTCAGCACCAATTCAGAGATGATTGGAGGATCTACAGCCAAGTGATACACAAATAAGATACAATGATACATCTTATATCAGGAATAGTATTTTTCTCAATGCGTTTCACGCTCCAAGCGCTTCCTGAGGAGATACAGGAGATCTAAATAATCACATATTAGGCATGTATACAAAAAAAGGATAACAACCACCCAACTTGCTTAACAATGAAATACCAGTTATGACACCTAAGTCACTCTGCATTGCGGCAGCTACTTCCAAATTTTGAAAGTTGGGATGAAATCATTAGTCACAGGTTTGTCACATTGTAATTATAAATACATTCATATTAATGGTGTATCTGGGAAAACCGGTCCTCCAGGGTGAAGCATTCCCGGACTTGTAGCATCCATTTCCAAAGTATATAGATGAGCGTTATGACTTTATCTTCTGAAATCTTGTTCCTGTCCAAAGAATCCACATCACCTGTGAGTCACCGGCCCATTTATTATGGGTATGCAGGTACTGGGATCACAGCCATGACTGGGCCGATGCTCCAGGGAGGGGGGAGTCAGACCCGTTTCCACACCTTCTTTACTGACTGAGCTCATCATAATGTGGAGTTAATATGCTGGGTGTGTCTGTGAAGGTTCTCCTTCATCCAGGTCATGCTATATCTCATTTTGAATGGAAAAAGCTACAGCCAAGTCCAGTTGCCTTGATCTGTTTTTTACAGATAATGTGCTGGGTGGTAACGTTTCTTCTCTTCAGTTACATAAATTCTGGTTACAAGCGCCAGCATCAAGACACATCCTTGCACGGGATCTGTGGCCTCCATGTGCAGCTCTCCCATCCGGGACATCATCCTCCAGGTTTTCCCGTAGCATGTTCACCTAGTTACTCCATTGTTACTCGGTGTATGATCAAGAAGTAAGAGTTCCCACTACATTACAGTTCAACTCTGGGCTCCAAGCTGCATCCTTTGGAGCAGAACTAGAGGGGAAACCTTCCAATGAGGACCAATGTTCCGGTGACAAATGAGGGCGACTAGTTTATTTCTACTTTTTATCACAGGCACAGCTGAAATTGCTAAGGTTTGTGACAACTTCACCTAAACCCCCAACAAGTATTGGGGACGAATATTCCATTTGTACTTTATCGCCGCAAAAGTATTGGCACCCACCAGTGCTGGGACAAGACCCTTTAACACCCAAGGTGAAAAGATCAAAGTGTATGCCCCCCCCCCCCAACAAGCCGGTATCTACCCCAACAGCATAGGTTGCAGGTCCTGCCCATTCTGCACCCCCTTTCCTGCTGAAATGCCCAAGACAATTGCCTCTTCTTCTTACCCCTCGGCCCAGCCCTGGTGCCCCCACCTAGCCATAGAAACACCAGTGGTGAAACTTAGACCTGTGCACAGGCAAAAAAAAATTGTTTCTTTCGGATCATTATTTATTTAGTTTTTCAGGATTCAGTCCGAAAGTCGATTTGTTTCGTTATTCGGATTCATCTGAATCCAAAATTTTGGATGTGTCAGGGAATTACAAAGGAAAGCAAACACAACACAGGTTTTTGACAAGTCCTTTACTTTGTATACGGTGTGGTGTGTTTATTTATAATTTTACTGTTTATTTGGTGAATGAGTAGAGGTAACAACTACCCCCTTACTCATTCTAGGGGGGGGGGCAGGATCTGGGTGCCCCCTTTATGAAAGGGGACACTCAGATTCAGATAAGCCCCCCTGCCAAAAATGAACTTGTCATCACCTCGGCCCAGACTAGGGTTGCCATCTGTCCAGGATTCACCCGGACAGTCCTGTCTTTGAGTCTTGTGTCCAGGTTTCCAGCCAGCTGACACCCGGACACAAGACATGAAGTGCTGATAACGGCACTTTCAATTTTTGACAGCTGCGGCTGTCGAGGTCTCCAGCAAGCGCAGGACCTCAGGCAGCCGCATCTGCCTGAAGCCACATCTTTCTGTAAGCCACGGGCTCCTGTAAACAGGAGCTGGCCGGCCCGCACATCTCCTCCTCTGTCTTTCTGACACAACGCTGCCTGCCTCCGGACCCCTGGTGAGGCACCGCGCAGCCCACACAGCACTCCTAAAAGCCTGCATAGCCCACCAGAGACCCCACACAGCCACCTAAGAGCCTGCACAGCTCACCCGAGGCCCCACACAGCCACCTGAGAGCCTGCATAGCCCACCTGAGAGCCCGCATAGCCCATCTAAGAGCCTTCATAACACACCAGAGAGCTTGCACAGCCTGAGAGCCCACACATCCTCTTTAGAGCACACACAGCCCACCTGGGAGCCCGCACAGCCCTGGTGAATACCCGAACAGGCCACCTGGAGACACCCCGGAACAACACAGAGCATGTAGCTTCATATTGTATTGCTGTATAATGTATTGCTGGGATTTGTAGTCCTCTATAGACGGTCTCCTTACTCCCTCCCCTGGCTGTCTCTTCTTGCTCTTTCTCCTGGCTGCCTTTCCATGAGCCTCCCATAGACAAACACAGCTCCCCACATACATAAATCTATGCACATACATTGTGTGTGCCCGCAGCCACACAAAGCCCTCTATTTAACCCACGGACCAATCAGCGTCCCCCTCTTCCAGCTGTTGCCTTGACCGACAGCCCCCTCGGCCAACCGCGGCAGCCGTACGGACCCAGCAGACGAGGTCGCCTGAAACGAACGGGGCGGGGTCCCCAGCGCTCGACGGCCAATCCGCGGTGGCTGCGCCGGTGACTTCATCTGTTAAAGGCAAAAGAGTTCGTGTCGGCGTAGCGCGTCTCGCTCCCACGGAGGAGGCGGCGGCTGTGCGCCCTTAAGGGAGGGGGCGGAGCCTGAGGAGGCCTGAGACACAGAGGGTGTTAAAGAGGCAGCCGGAGACAATCCTGGGGTGAGATAAACTGTTGTGTGATTATAATGCGGTGTGCGGGACGGGACCCGCTGCGTGTGTGTGACCCGGATCAGGGCGCTGCATGTGTGTGTGAGAGCATCTGCATCCTCTGTGTACAATCTCTGCACCGCCTGTGTGTGCTCTACATTGTGCACAGCAGCCTGCATAGGGGGCAGAACGAAATCACAATATGAACGATGTGTGTATGATAAATGTGAGCACGGGGGCATACTTACAGGAGAATTACATTGTGCACATCGGCGTGCTGCAATATCCAGAACAGCAGGAGTGGAAATCAAATGCATATAAAAATTGTGCATGTGTGTATATAATATATATGTGTATTGCTTGGTGCACAGCAGCGTGCTTCACTATGCAGCAACGCAGAAATAATTAAATATGTGTATTTAATAGGAGTATTACATTGTGCACATCAGCGCGCTGCAATATCCAGAACAGCAGAAATGGAAATCAGATGGTTATAAACAGAGCTTTAACAACTAATCGAATAAAGTTAATAATGAGAATTGTTGGCAACGATTCTAATCATCACTTAGTTGATTTTCGATTAGTTGCTGCCGCTCTCCTCCCTTTTAATCCCTGCTGCTCTCCCTGCCTGTGTCGGCAGAGGGGATTCCATTATTTCCTATGGTGAAATTCGCTTTGCTATACAAGCGCTTTGGATTACAAGCATGCTGCCGGAACGAATTATGCTCGTAAACCAAGGTATTACTGTATATTTTCTTTCTTTATATTGGTCACAACTAAAAAAAAAAATGCAATTTGCAGATTTTCTTTCTTTTAGTCAGGCAAATGTAAACTGTTGGACATGAATATTTTGCATTATATCTTCAGCCAGCAGATGGAGCTCCGGGCTCTTTTCACATGTTTTCCAGGCTCTCCTTTTTTGCTTTTCAGAAAAACAATCCTGCTATTTACAGAGCTCAATAGCTTAGGCTGAAATGTACCCACACAGTGAATGAGAGCATTGACTCTTCGCCCTCTCTGCATGCCTGTTAGGACAGCTCTGGGTGAAGTTTCAATTAGAGTTTGAAGGCATCGAGCTTCTGCCTTTTCTTTTTTAGTATAATCCATGATGTTCTGTTAACCCTTTGTCAGCGGTGTACCATCGATTAAATGATTATGTGTTATAGTGTTAGTTAAAAAATATATAAAAATTAATATAAACTTATAAATAGGGCTGCAACTAATGATTATTTTCATAAACGATTAGTTGGCCGATTATTTGTTCGAATAATCAGATTAAAAAAAAATACCATCCATATTTTAAAATAAAATAGACAAATGCCGTGTTACAAACAAAGTTTACTTCAGAATAAAACTGTATGCACAATTTTTTTTGCGCTGGAACGCACGGCATTGCTGTACCGTGCGTTCCAGTGCGGGCATTTACACTGTGGGTGGGAGGCGCGTTTGGGTTGTCATTAAAATTGTATTGTAAGCACACGGCGCTTGAATACCTTGAGCTCGGGAATAGCAGCTGCCAGCGGCAACATTCCGCAGGTGGCAGCTGAATGTAAATACAGCAGGCAGTGGGCAGGTGCAATAGCCAGCCTGCTATTGGCCATTTCAAATTGCAATAGCAGGCTGGCTATTGCACCCGCCCACTGCTTGCTGTGCCCTCCTCCTAGTGTGGAGGAGAGGGCAAGAGGATCCAACCAACTAATCGATAATGAGAATAGTTGACAACTATTATCAATTTATTGATTTAGTTGGTTGCAGCCCTACTTATCAATACAAACATAATGTTAACCAACCTAAAACCATTATAGATATTCAACAAGATTGTTTATCCAATGAAAAAAAAGAATCTCTACAAACCAATTTTTGATTTGTCTGTCTTTTGCTTTGATGAACCAATATTCCGCTTGCAATAATTTTTTCCCCCTGACAACTATCCTATATCTGTGGCTATCCTGAGAGCTAGGCAATGTCTGTTGGTCTTTCTATGTATACATGTTTGTATCCATGCCAATAAACATTTCTTGGTCTTCCAGGTCCCCCCCCCCACTCTTCCTACGCTATCATGGAAACCTCTGGCCCCCTCATCCATGTGGACTTCCCCGATGTGGCCAGCTCCCTCCTGGAAAGCCTCAACCAGCAGCGAATGGAAGGAAAGCTCTGTGACGTCTCCATCCACGCGCAAGGACGCGTCTTCCGAGCCCACCGCGCAGTACTGGCTGCCTCTTCCCCATACTTTCATGACCAGGTGCTGCTTAAGGGCATGAGTTGCGTGGTTCTGCCTAATGTAGTAGACCCCGGGGCCTTTGAAGCCGTGTTGTGTGCTGCCTATACGGGTCGCCTGACCATGCTAGCCGACGAGATCGTCAATTACCTGACGGTGGGCAGCGTTCTCCAGATGTGGCATGTCGTAGATAAGTGCTCCGAGCTCCTGAAGGAGGCTCGAGCCAACAACAGCTCCAGTAGCGCAGAAGGAGCTGGAAGCAGTAGTAATGTCCCAACACCACAGAGACCTCATTCTGGAAGGGCCAGCGAGAACCAGTCTCCCAGCAGCAGCAACTACTTTAGCCCGCGGGAGGCACCAACTGAACCTTGCGCGGAGAGGAGTAGAAGACGGAGCGATGTAGCAAGTGAAACTGCAGAGGAAGCGGGAGTTGAGGAAGACCAAGGAGGAGGAGAGGCTTCTATTGCAAGCTGTTCCAGTTACAGAAGGCCAAGCATTGTGCCACAGAGGCATTGGGTGTATGTGAAGAAAGAACGGCCTCACCAGGGCCTTGTGTTGACATGTGAAGGTGAGGAGGAAGAAGATGAAGAAGAGCTTGAGGAGGACGAAGATGAAGAGCACTTAAGTATAAGTGACGTCCGTACTCTCAATGCCCCAGAGGAACAGGTCAACTTCTGCGAGCCCTCAGATGGCATGCCTTACGAGGAAGGAACAGCCGCCAGTTCCGGCTACCCGCAAGGTCCTCCACTCCTGCCTCTGGACATGCAAGGAAACCAGCTGCTGGTCTTACCTTCTGGGCACGGGGCAGCCGGGCAAGGGGGCACAGGGACAACCCAAGGAGAAGGCGGAAAGATCTTCCTGTGCCATTGCGGGAAAGCGTTCTCTCACAAGAGCATGCGCGACCGACACGTCAATATGCACCTCAACCTTCGCCCCTTCGACTGCCCCGTGTGCGGAAAGAAGTTCAAGATGAAACACCACCTCACGGAACACATGAAAACGCACACAGGCGTAAAGCCGTACGAGTGCGAAGTGTGCGCCAAGAAGTTTATGTGGAGAGACAGTTTCATGAGGCATCGCGGGCACTGTGAAAGGAGGCACAGGGCAGTGGCAGGAGGGGGAGGAACTGGGCAAGGAATTACCGAAGCCCCATCTGTGTAACACAGGCAAGGGGGCAGAGTGTGGAGACAGAAGGGTGACAAGAGGTACGGACTAGTCTGGATTAGTGGAACATGATGGCAGAGATGACGTCTGGAGGACAGGAGTACAGAAAGTGAGACACAGACGACCATTTCTGCTGTTCCTGAAAGACAAAAAATGGTAAATGCAGCCGCGTAGTACTTGAAGACTGAATTGGATAAAAACAAAACCAGTTCACCTTCCCTTAACTTCTATGTACTGTTCCCTACGCTGACTTGCAGTTGCCCTTCTGCAATGGTACTAAACTTCATTTTCTTGGTAGACCTCAAATTTTCATCTATCGAATGTGCACTTTTTTTTAAATTAATATGAAAGTTCCGTCTAAGCTCCAGAGGTCACAATCTGGCCACTCCATGGTGCTAATTATTTTTTATTGTGACATTTATGCTTCCAAGGCCTGCCGCCCCTCTAGTAAAATTCCAGTTTCTGCCAGCTCTCTAACTTGCCGAGTGGCCCTGAATTTGAGCTCCTAAAAATAATGGCTGGTGTGTTTCCTGGTTCCAAGCGCCCACCCTCCATGGCTTTCACAGAGTAAGTTGCAGAGTGCAGAATTATAGGAGAAGATGCTATAGAGTACTCTGAAAAAAAGCGTGCTGAATCTGGCTGCAGTGTGCCAAGTCAGCTATTCCTAGAAATGTAAAGCCCAACTCCAGACAAAGCCTATATCTTGGTTTTGAACACAACAATGAAAGGAGAGAACCTCTTATGTTTTATTGTTGTCTGTGATCCCACTGGGGAGAGTTCTTTTGCCCTTCAGACACCTTGAGACACATGGTGTGAGCGGGATAGGAAGTGAGAAGAAATCTCTACAGCAGGGACAAAAACATCAATACAAAACTGACGGAGGGTGTAATGCTTCCAGACAACCAAAACTAGGAAAACGTTGGCTGGAGTTGGTCTTTAATCACATTTTAAATTTCCCACCTTTCAGTATGGTTCACTGGATTGAAAATAGCAAACACCTACCATCCAAATAATTTAAAAAAACACATTTTTAAAAATTCTATACTAATCACATGGAACTGTGCAGCGGCATAGGTCACATGTCCTTCACAAAAGTGTTGCATCATCAATGTTCTGACTCTGCAGCCGCAAGGGGGAGTGTCGGTAGAAACTGGATGTCCAGAATTGGGAAAAGGATGCTTACAGGCTGAGGGTTGGGAAATGAGGCACTGTAGGGGAGTTTTTTTTAAATATTGTTTTACAGGGCTATTCACAAAAGGGTGATGAGTTTGAGAAGGCCAGAGAAGTGAACAATCTAGGACAACATAGCTGAACTGGAAAGGGATCTGAATTAGAGAATGTTTCCAGTTGAGCTATGTTCTCCTAGATTGTTCATGTCTCCTGCCTTCTCCAAACTCTTCACCTTTTAATGAATAACCCTCTTAGTGTTTGCCCGTAAAGATGAAGAAACCATAGCCTTTGCCAAGGTGTCCTCCTCCACACTGTGAATTTTAAATGCTCGTTTTGTCTAGGGGATGATGAATAAGAAGCAATACTTACTTTTTTCCTCGCTCTACTAGTAGCCAGTGCTCTCCTCCACCATCCAACGCTCCTGGGATGTAGGCAAGCTTTCAGAGTCCTCACGTACAATGCAAGACCAGTTCTCCTGCATAGTACATCATGACATCAGAAAGCTGCGACCATTTGGGCAGCTGAAGAGCAGATTGGGGGGCTGGTTGGGCAGCACAGAGGAAGCCTGCAAGAGCAAGGAATAAAGTATCTAACATTATTGTTCTCCAACTAGACAAAATGAGTATTCCACCCTTAAAGTGCAGAGGGAGTCCCACTGCAAGGGTTACTTTTTTTCTCCATCTGGAGTTAAGGTTTTTCAGGACCTATTGGCCTTAAGAGAATGGAATCATGGGTTTGAGTTGGTTGGAGACGTTTTAGAGAATGGGGAAGGTACCTGGTAGTACGTAGTCAACATCCATCTTGAGCTGAGGAAGCAACTTGGATGAATTGTGAAACCTCTTCACAGAACAAGTGTAGCCGAATGAGACTAACTCCATATTGGAATCCCATGACCTGGATAAGTGAGAACCTTCAACGAGAAAGATGTTTAGGAGACATTGCATAAGGGCACATGCAAATCGGGAAATCAGATTTTCGGAACTTTTCCTCTTTGTAGCAATTCCAAAAGCCAAAGGAATGAAAAGCTTTCACTGGTCCCATCCAACTATCCAACTTTCACCGCAGTAAGAGCAATATACTGACGTTCTCCTACAACTCCCCGAAGGTTCATGTTCTGCAGGCCCTTCTAATCCACAAAGACACAAACTGCCCCCACCCTGCTGTGACTTAACTCTTCAAATTTTGTGCTCCGCTGCAGAGACAACTGTATAACCGCGGCTGGCGTTGAATTCTTACACCTGGTATGGTTTTGCAGTGGACAAGGCTTCACCCAACGACTGTTCCAACGGCAGGGAGAAGCAACGGACCTATCCACCCTTGTGTTACAGAGGGTGAGGGACGCCTGTGCCAAGTGTCGGCACAGCAAGACAACTCTTGTACAGTATTTTAGCTTCTTAGATAAGAAGCAGAAACACTACAGTTCTCCTAAAACCCTAGATCCATTGTGTGAGCAGACGGCTCCATTTTTATATACACATTGTTCATTGGTTGAAGACACGGAGTGATGCTTATAAAAACAGCAACTAGAATAAGAACTTCTAAAACTTTAGATGTGCACAGGGCAAGTGGCAGAGGTTCCTGTGCTACAAACCAGTTTCAGTGGCTGGCTGGACTCGCAGAGAGTGTTGTCCACTGGTTGGGCTTATTGCATGGTGTGCAGTAGCCAGTGTGTGTCTACACGAAGTCCGATTTTTGCCACAAGTAGGCTCCTTTACCCCATAATATTGAGGGAAGTTTTGTATTGCCAACATTATTCCGGAATTATGAATAATGGCTTATTTTAAGGGGTCTCTAATTTACCCAATTTGTATTATTTATGCCCAGTGTCTTGAGAATCATTAAAGCGGACCTGAGGACAAAAAAAAATAAAATTACACGGTTTTTAAGCAAATGTGCCTTATTAGTCTACCAAGAGCAATTCCAGATAGATGAAAGCAGTCAGTGAGTTGCAAATCCAAACCCTGCACCTGTGCTGAAATTACAAAGTTCAGAATACCCTTATCTTGGATCCCTGTAATGCACTGCAGCCAGACTGTAGAGGTCGCCTCACAGGGTCAGTAGGAGTGTAATTCCTGTAGTTCCTTTACTTCCTGCAACACCAGTCACATTCAGAATTCTAAGACAAATGTAAATCCGATTGGTGGCAGTGAGGAGCTTGTCATGCTGAGATTTATTTCACAAGGAGCCTGCAGTGGACGTGTCTGGGAATAGCTTCTCTATATCACAAGCTGGAGTTCCTAAATCATCAGTGGGGTGGCACTGCTGGCAACACAGCAATGCCAGGGTAAAAAACAGTATTTGGTGGATAAACTATACTCAGCAGATAAATGATACTCAGCAGGTAAACGGTACGCCGCATAGGTTTCCAAAGGTTTACATTCCTTATTCTTAGTCGGAGGATCTTGGGGCACTGTTGGCATGCAGAGATGGCCAAAAAAAACCAGCTGTTCATAATTTTGTTTGTCTTTAGGTCCGCTTTAAGTCCTAGTTGTGCCTGAGGAAGGTGACACAACAATAATAGCCAAGGCCAGGCATACCTAAATTGTGGGGTTTATACTCAAATCTGAGAACAGAGAATCTACATGAGATTTACATTTCAAACTAGAATGTGAGATGGATTTTACATATTTATTTTTTGGCAGCCAGTTTTTATAATTATTCCTCCTGTCTTCCTTCCAAAAAAGAAAAAAACATTTGTCACCCAGTTAAGCAATCCCACTTTTTTATGTGCACACAAAAATGTATAGGACATATATACAGGAATGAGTTTATTAATGTTAGAGGTTCTGAGCTGATATTTCACTTTTGGGCGGATGGGGGTGCGGTAAGTCACACGCCGGCTTTTGATATCTCTTTTGGTACTTCAGTGGAAGATCTCCTGAGCTGCCAACTCTGCTCAATCTAATACAGCCATTGCATAGGGGGTCTCCTTTTCTGCTCTGTCATACAGGTGGAGAGGCGGGGTCATGGGGGTGTCCCTCTCTGCTCCTTCCAACAGGTGGAGGAACGAGATCATAGAGGTGTCCTTCTCTGCTCCGTCATACAGGTGGAGGAGTGGAGTCATAGGGGTCTCCTTCTCTGCTCCATCATACAGGTGGAGAAGTGGGGTCATGGAGTCTCCTCTGCTCCATCATACAGGTGGAGGAGTGGAGTCATAGGGGTCTTCTACTCTGCTCCTGGTTACAGGTGGAGGAGCAAGGTCCCAGGGGGCCTCCTTCTCTGCTCCATCATACAGGTGGAATAGCGGGGTCAAATGGGTCTCCTCCGTTTCTTGATAAAAGGGGAGGAGCAGAGTCATAGGGGTCCCCTTCTCTGATCCTTGTTACAGGTGAAAGAGCAAGGTCATAGTGGGCCTCCTGCCTCTGCTCCTTGTTGCAGGTGGAAGAGCGGGGTCAAAGGGGTCTCCTTCTCTGTTTCTTGATACAAGTAGAGGAGCGGGGTCATAGGGGCCCCCTCCTCTGATCCTTGTTACAGGTGAAGGAGCAAGGTCATAGGGTGTCTCCTCTGCTTCTTGAAAGAGGTGGAGTAGTGAGACTTGGTGGCTTCGTACTGGTATATGAGGAAGAGGAAAAAACTCTGGCAAGGAGATCTCACCATTGAAACCTAAGGGGCCAGTGGCCTATTTCACCCATCCAAATGTAAAATATATTTTTTGGGTGGACGGATCCCTAAATGAAGGTGTGTTGTGGGATCTGACCTTGTTTACCTTAGCAGGTTGAGTGTTACAGTTAGCTCTGCAGACTCAGTACTGTAGTATTTCCCAGTCTTGGCATGGACTCGTATGAAGTGTAAGGAGAGCCAGCCACAAATAAATATTGAAATGGATGATAAACTGTTATTACAGCATGTGAATATTGTGTATGGTGGTCACTCAAAAGGTGC